CTTTTTACCACCTTAAGAAATCGATACACTGCTTTGACTGGGAATAGCTTCTTCCAACGCATATCTCAGCGGTCGTCGCCCTGCAGGTTCCAACAGTAACATATCTGGCAGGGGCCAACAACAACGCTGGGCTCTAAAATCCCTGTGCTGCCCGTTGATCAGGTCTAGGTCTGGAAAAAAGTAAAAGAGGAGCATGGTCTCAAGCAAGAGCACTGACATACCACAGTATACCTGCATACTTGCAAGTAACTTCAAGTGCTTTAGGTGTTTGTTCGGGCCGGTGCTTCGGAGAGGGAGACGTCACACATCCGACTTGGTGGCTCACTTCGGCGGCGTCACTTGATTGGCGCAGCGCCATTGATGTCATCGACCCTTGTCTTTCCTTGGTTGGCTTTCCACTCCACACCACATCTCAAACTTATCCCATATATCATAATCATTGAAACAAGGTTTGAGTGACAACTTTCGTATCAAGTTCATGTTGATAGGTATATCGACGCATCCAACCGATTGTACCATGCAAGCAGACGAGAACTCCCAATCCGCCGACACCGCGCCAGGGGCCGGGTTGAGAAACCTCCTTCCCATTCCGGCAGCGGATCCCGGTGATGCCAACCAGCGTGACCAATCGTCATTCACGACGCCCGGAGAGGGACCGACGCTCTCGCATGCTCTGGCCACGGACGCGAAACACGACGAGGGGCTGGTGCAGCGAGGTCACGATAAGGACGTACTTGACCTTGGATGGAGCGAAAAGAAGGAGGGCATTGCCGCGCCGCTCGTTCGCGGCATGGAGAATGAGCATCTGTGGCTGCTGCTGCGGCGGTTCAATAAGGTATCTCACTGTAGCTCCAGAAATCCACGTCGTGAAATCCAACTGACCATCGCCAGCAAATCTACCATGTCCAGGCCACCCAGTACCCTCCACCTGGAGGCTTGGACCTGAACATCGCCGACGATGAGGAGGCCTCACCAGATAAACTACGAGCTAATATCGAACGCTTGTACATGACGGTCGGTGTTGGTCTTCTGACCGCCGTCAAGCACATCGCTCGTTTACGATCCTGGCGAGAACCCAGGCGGACTACCTACTTCGCAGCGGCCTACTTCACTGCTTGGCTTTTTGACTTCCTCGGCCCCCTTCTCTCGGCTGTTGTTCTGGCTCTCATTGCCTTTCCTGAAACCCGGAGCATTTTGTTCCCTCCGGCACCTCTCAGTATTGTTGACAGCAAGACGGGCGGCGTGCAAAAGCCGAAAGCCGGCTTACTCGGCAGCTATGACAGCGCCACGGGTGCCCCAGAAAACCACAAGGGCGAAGCGGTGGAACAGGAGGCAAGCAACTTTGTCAGCAGCATTGCTTCTATTGCCTTGAGCAGCGCGGCTGGCAAGCACCCCCAAGGAGACCCGGACTTGGATGAGAAGTCAGCCGTAGTGGCAGCCCCCGACCCGGCTGCTCTCGCCGTTCGTACCGCCGATGCCAAGGACAAGGCTAGGGGCGAGAACACGGATGCGAAGCACGACAAAACAAAAGCCCCCATGGAAGCGGCCATGTGGGCAAAGATGTGCCCGATCATGCACACCATCAGCAATATCGCCGACACCTGGGAGCGCTTGGAAAAGTAGGTCATGTGTTGCCTTCTTCTAACACCAATTTGCTGACCAGGTCCCAGTGCTCTCTCACCCATCCCATTCTTCCCTTCCGAAGTATATCGGCTCCGCTTCGTTGCTATTGTTCTTCCCTGCGTGTTTGGCGTCTCGCTGTTTGTAACACCCTATCTGTTCCTCAAGTCCCTCTCCTTCCTCTTCGGCTGCATTTTCTTCGGCGACCCCATCATCTCTCGAGGCATGGCCTGGCTCAACCGCACAGTCCCCAACTGGAAAAAACTCCTCGAGCCGCGCAAGTTCGTGCTTCCCCCTCATATCTCCTCTCTTAACCATCCCTGATATAACTGACCCCTGCTCCCAGCACAATCCTCAAAGGCGTCCCAACCAACGCCCAACTGACCCTCACCCTCCTCCGCCACGGCGAAGCCAACCACGCCCCGCTCCCTCCCCCACCGCGCAACACCTCCCCGGCTCCCTCTCAACCAGCAACCCTAACAGACGCCCATATCCGCGCAACCGGCGCCGACGCCCCGCTAAACGCCACCCCCTCTGAGCTCAACGCGGCCATACACCCCGAACCATCCACCGACTTCCAAACAGTCCCCAACACCAACAACACCGACACCGATACCGACGCAACCAAGTCCTCACACCACCATCACAAGGGCAGCAGAATTATCAACTTCTTCAAGGGTACCACACGCGGCATGGTCAAGACAGGCGTCGCGACCGACACTGTTCGTGCCAAAGCAGGCAGCGAGCCAGCCAAGAACCGCCTCGGTGTCATCCCTCCGCGGCGGGACATGAACCCTTCCGAACCCGGCGGACCCGTGGAATTCGAGGCGCGGTATGAAGGGGACAGGGGGATGGTGTGTCTGTCTACTTTTGGGGCAACGGTGCCTGTCGTCTCGTTTGCCAAGGCGTCACGAACAGGCGCATTAGCGAAGATTAAAGGGGAGGAGAGGGAAAATGTGAAGCCCGTTTGGAGCGTGCCCGTGTCGAATATTGTGGAGCTCAAGAAGGTTGGGGGGTATGGGTGGAAGGCGAGGTTGGTGGTTGGGTGGGCTATGGATAGGGAGGTCAACGATGGGTTGATTATCAAGACTGGAAGTGGGGAGGAGTATCACATTACGGCTGTGCCGCTGAGGGATGAACTGTTTAATCGGCTGGTCGCGGTGGGTGGGCAGAAGTGGGAGGCTCGGTGAAGTGGAAAAGGGTTCAGGGGGTGACTGGCGGTTGTCATGGCAACGTCGAGGTGGCAGAAGAAAAGGAGCAAGGTTGAACACGAGGTCACGATAGGATACCAATTGTTGAAGGGTGGATGGACGGGGTCAGATGCCACCCGATCACCGTTTTAGCATTTCTTTCTATCCCATGTTTGATTTGCAGATCCCTCTGACCCGACCGGACAAAGACATATTCCCAAAACGCCAACCCCTAAGAAATATTGATCCTTCCCGAGTATACCACCAGAACTCCAACCCTTGTTCCTTCATGCCGCCCCTCCAATCCTCCACAACATTCTGTGCTGCCCTCATGCAAGCATGACCGCCAACAAGAGTGTCACCATCCCAACGAGACCAACAGCAGCTGTGTGAGAGACGCCGGCGTCCGTCTCCGGCGTCCTGACGATACCCTGCTCGTTACCATTGCCCAGCTTGTTCTTCTCTCCACCCTGAGCCTGATTGTCCCTGAACGCCTGGTCAAACGAGGACGCGTTTGACTTCTTGGACAGTTCCAGCGCCCAACGGTAGCACGGCTCCTTGGCGATGGCCTCCAGCTTGCTCGTCTCGGGCCCGCAGGCCGCCCACAGCTCGTGCACCTTGGCCCAGAGGGGCACAATGAAGGTCGAGTAGCGGGCTTGGTTGAACCGGTTCATGTCGGCCGGGTCGATGTTCTTGAACTTGCCCGACAGGTTCACGTTCTCGCACATGTCGCTGTCAACGCCGCCCAGCTTGTCGGCCATGGTCTTGAGTGACGGCGGGTACGTCGGCTTGGGTGTGAGTTGCGGTGTGATGCGGGCAGCGACATGCGAGCACTTGTCCTTGTCGGTTGGTGTGCCGGTTGCCGTGGGCGCTTGGCTGCTGAGATGCAAGACGGACGGCTGTTCCTGCTTACGCTGTGTTGGCGGCATGGTGGCAGGGATCGGTCGGTGGACGATGGGAACACCGGGCTGGTAGGGAGCCGGCGTGGGCCTGGCGGCAGGATATGTGGCGAGTGGAGTGAGCGGGAGCTCTCCTGCACTTGCCAGGGCCAGGATGCTGACGAGGACCGGAATGGTTGCGGTGAAGGAAGGCATCGTGACGGTCGAAAGTGTGTGTGTAGGCTTTTTTTGACAAAGAAGATCCGCGTTGCTAACGGACGAAACAAAGAAGCGAGGAAGCAAAGTTAACGTGTTGTTTGAGCTGAAGATGCGACCAAAAAAGTTGATGAGAGTGGAAGAGAAAATGGGTCTCCTGGGTGCGGTGCAGCTTTATTATCGAATCCAAGCAGGCCGCCATTGCCTTCAATTGCTCTTGTCTGCGGCGGTCTTGCCATCTCGAATCCTCTCATGCGACTCACAGTAAACAAACTTGAATGCGAAGCCGCTGCCGGCCAAGTGGCTTCCTGTCATGTACCTTCCGAGTCCGGACCTGGTAAGCGCAGGGTCCTTTCCCAGTTGAGTGGCAGCAGAAAAAATAGCAACCAGGTAGTCCAACAGATGTGAAGTGGCACGCTCCGTTTGCACAAGTCCGAGTTGCCCAGGTGGGTTCCATGAAATACTGACCTCGAGGAAGGTGGCGACTGAGGTACATAGATTGTTCCGGTGGTTCTTGATTGTCCGGGTGGATAGTGCCCTGGTTGAGGAAAGACCCAATGTGTCGCTGAACTTTACAGGCCACAGTGATGGCGGTATCTGTTTCTGATGTTGCAGTCGACATTGGAAGCAGTAATCAATGCCATTTTCTCGCCAGTGGCGATCCAAATGGAATCATGAGCCGTGGCAGTGGTGCAACGCGTGGGGCGACGATTATATCATGACAAAGCACTATCAACCGAAATAACTAACAGACTGATCAAACAACTAGATGAGCTGCTAAATGATCAACAGAACAAACAACCTGGTATCGACCCTCCCCCGACTTTGGACTCACATCTCACACCTCATTATCCCACCGCTCCATTACATGTACCCATTTACACCACACCTTTCACTTACACCCACCACACAACCTCCTCCCCGTTCAGTCTTGAACGTCACTCATCCCAACACACCTTCATCGTAACAGGCCACTCGCCCTTGGCGCCCCAGTCCTCGCGCAGGTACTCCACCACGCCCTCGCCGCGCACACCCACAACCTTCTTCAGCTCGCCCTGCGGGCCGGGAGCGCGCCGCACATTCCTGCGCTTGAACAGCGTCCGGAACATCTCGGTCAGCGCGGCTTCGCTCATCTCGCGCCCGCCGGCCAGGAACGAGCTGCTGGGCAGCGCGGCAAAGTAGATGTGGCTCTCGCGGGGGCGCGAGGGGTCGACGGTGTCGTCGTCTGAGGGTGTCTGTGAGTTAATGAGTGGTTAGTTTTTTGTGTGGTTACCCAGGAGTGTCAGAATGAAGGAGGGGTAAATTGATGCGAGGGGACTTACAGAGGAGACAACGACATGGTCACCCGGTTGGACGACGATTTCAGTGCCGTCTTGCGCCGAAACCGAGTTGGCTGCCGCACTCTGAAAGTGAAGCTTCGTCGAGCCGGAGAGGCGGATGCCTTCGAGGGCGTAGCCCAGGAGGAGGGCGTCGGTCTGCTCCGAGGGAGGCTGAGCAGCGAGAGATTGAATCGCTTCACGGTGCGCTGCGCCCCTTGGAGAGAGGTAGAAGTCTACTGCTTCAGCGAACTGTGAGGGGTGTTAATGGCCAGAACGGAACTGCAGACTGACGACAAGGCAACTTACCAGCTTGGCTTGGTAGGGGACAATGGCGGCGCAGGTTGCGAGGACATGGCTCCAGGTGATGTCGTGGTTGCTGACGCCGGCCTTGGACAAACCCCTGATGAGCTGCGCACCGTATGCGCTCAGCGCGTCACCGTTCTTCGTCCTCGGGCTCTTGACCGTGCGCTCAATGACGGCCGCCAGCTGACCTGCCACAGTCTTGGCTGCCTCGACCAACGGGAACTTCCGGACAGGGTCGGGGTTGGTGAAGAGAACTGCCGCGACGGTTGACAGCACGGCGTAGAGCTCATGTTCGGTGTAGATGCCCTTGGGGCTCTCTTTGGTCCGCAGACCAAGATCGAACAGACTCGAGGCGAAGTGGGTCGGAGCAATATTGGCGACGTCGCGGACGAGATCCGCCATTCTGTGGCCAGCAAGAAGGTAACTCTGGCTATTGAGCAGCTGCTCGGTCGTCTTCCGGTAAAAGGACTTCACATGAGAGATAACGTCGGCAGTCCCAAGCGACTGGCTCACCTCGCGGCGGCGAGTGTCGTGGGTGGTTGCGTCCCCAGAGAGCTTAGCGATGGACGGGTCGAGAAGCCCGGCGTTCGCATGCCATGTCCCCTTGTACAGCTCAGGGTTGCCAAACACCCGAGCGACGCCCTCGGGCGATGCGATCTCACTGGCCTGGGCAATCCGTGTCGGTCGGCTAAAGTCAAACAGGTGGTCTCGCTTGAGGTCTTTCAGAATCTTCTCCGTCTCAGACGGCACCACCATAGGGTAGTGCGCATAAACCGAGTTGTACTTGAAATGATGAGGGAATGCCCGGATGAACAACTTGTAGAAGACGCATCCGTGGTTGATGTTCAAGTCGTATTGCACATCGTTGTATCCCCAGTTGGTAAGGTTGCGAGGGCTGTAGTCCAGCGTGTAGTGCCGGTCACCCCTAACGAGGCAAACAGCATCCGAGAGCACGACTCGGGAGATGGTGTAGGTCGGCGCAATGCCCACACCGGGCACCATGGGCTGCTTGTGCTCCTCGGCCACTATGCCAGGGTACAGCTCCACAAAATCAGGGTGGTCGTACAGACGGCGCAGGGATTCGGCAACGCCAGGATCCGAGTTGATGTCCTCGAATGACTCGTATGGCTTCAGCCCAAAGTGACGCCTGAATTCGTTGAGCCCTTTATACAGCAGTCAGTTGTCATTTGCCATTTGCCTTTTTCTATTCATGACGGAAGAAGCTGAGCAAATTCCGCAGCAGGGAGTCATGCGGCTCTCGGGACGGCCGTAGAGGAGCTGTACACAGTGCACACGCATGAAAACGGTTGCTTACCCGCGACGTTCCATTTCCGAGCCTGGATGATGCCCAAGATCTCAATGGCCCGCATGGAGGCGGGCACGTTCCGCGCACCGAAAGAACCAGCGCAATCCTCCACGGCGGATGTGATACATTCGACCAGATCGTCGTCGCTGTACTTGCCGTCGGGTCCCCTGCTGAACTTGTTGAAGGGCCGCTGGAGCGGATCCTCAGGGAGCCTACCCTCGAACTTGGCGAATCCCGTGTAGAGGTCATGGGGCGTCAGCTCCGATGGGGACTTGCCAAAAAAATCGTGGTAGAATTCTTCGATCCATTTGTCGTCCTTTTCCGAAATGCAACTGTGCCAGCGGTAGCAAAGATTGAACTCGGCCGAGACTACATTGCCTGTTCCACGCTCGGCGCCCTGGCTGGTACCGGCGGCGATGCCGGTGTCCTGGCGGGGGTCGAGGGTCCAGGTAGTATCGACACGGTTGAGCTGCCGGGGTTAGCCGATGCGGCCACAGCAAGGTCGGGCCTCCTTACATTGACAATGTTCCGCACGTAATCCAGCAACGTGATGTTGATGTAGAGGCCCGAGGTGATGAGACGCGCAGTCTGGAACAGATCGTTGTCGAACTTTTTCCATGCTGCCGCTGCCTCCTCTCCTTCGAGCGACGGCGACGGCGGGGTAAACTTGCGGTCCTCATTGATGGCAATGAGGTTGTCGCAAACGTAGTTGTGGACCCGGTTGAACATGATCAACAGCACGCCGACTCCAGGGGGCATGCCCAGAAGACGCTTGTCGGCAAAGCAGTCGGGCTTGAGCTTGCCGTCCTTGAAAGTCCTGATGGTGTCCTGCATCGCCTGATTGCTGCCGTAAAGCGGAGACAAGTCGAGATATGAGGACGTCTTGGACCGGGTCACGTCCTTGTGGTCGGTCCAGAAGAGGTCTGGCAGTGTCGTTAGAACATGCAGGTCAGCGTAGCCTGCTTCGTGCACACTTACCGTGAATAATGATGGTGGCCCAGTACCAGAGAATGCTGGAGACGTTGTTTGGGTGTTTCTTGTACTCGGTCCGTTTCATGACCGAGTCATAGATCAGGCTGGGCTCGGGAAGGGCGCCTGGTCGCAGGATGTTGGCCTGGACAGAGCGCGCGTATGCGGTACCAGCAGCGCCGAGCTGCGGGAACATCAGGTTCTGCCACCAGTCAGTCCTGGCTCTGATGCGTCTCGCGGCACCACAATAGGTCAACAACTCACATTATACGACCCGTCGGCCTGCCGGTATTGGAACTTCTCGCCAACATACAGCGACGGAGCCGGGTGCTCGAGCGAGTACCAGAGCTCGCCAAGGAACTTGTTGGTCAACTCAGCGCGCATCCTTGAGTCGCTCGGCAGGTTCGAAACGAGCTGGATGATGCGTTCCATGATCATGGTCTTGTCGTCGATCAATTTCTCGCCCTTGATCTTGGCCATGATGAAAGTCTTCAAGGCCTTCCAATCTGGTAATCAGTTAGCTCATTCCTTGATGCGTCCAGAACGAGGTTTCGTCTTCATACCGGGAGCTCGCAGCGTCTTGATGTCGTTCTTGATTTTGCCCCATCGTTTTGGTTCGGTGCCAGCACCGCCCGGAGCCTGGTTCGGGAGCGGTTGGACCTTCGCGTGGATCACCTGGGCATACCGTTCAAAAGCATTAGCGACACCATGCCTGTCGGCGTTTGTCGGCGCGAGTTTGAGTGCAGTGGGCTTGGGATTCGCTCGGCTTGCGACCTTCTCGCCCGTGTCGATCGAGGGTGTCGAGCTCGCATGGCTGACCGTGTTCACCACGTGGGCGCCGTTAATCTTCTCGCCGTTCTGCACAGGTGCCATGGCTGCAGCTTCTTGGGACGTGGAGTGGCTAGGTCGACCAACTGTGAGGGAAAGCGAAGTGAGAAAGAAGAGAAGGGCACGCGAGGGCAGCCATTCCAATAACTATGGAGGTTCTGCAGTTCCACTGGATGGCGACCCCCTGGCCCTTGGCCACCGAGTGCCGGCCAGGGTTATGCAGCAGCTCATCACAGCTCAGCTCTCTTCCGGGGCCCAATGAGCTAACCAGGTATGCACTCCGTAGGTACACATGCAAGACTCCGCGCAAGCCCAGTGGGGCACTCTGCTGCTGCGTGTCTCATGCCAGAGATTCGCGTTGCTGGGCAGCAGGGGGAGGGTCGGGCGGTGCCTGTGGGAAGAATAAGCGACCAGGGCAGCTCCAGGTTGCAGAGAGCCATGATCCATGCCCCACCAGGCCAATGACAGCATTTCCAATGGGCGCCAAACACTAACTACCAGCTGAATGCTCGAGTGTCTCTGCTTCTCGTCTTGGTGGTGTCTGCGCTGCCGATGGCAGAGTTGCGTAAGGTTGACGTTCCTCCAGCCGAAGCCCCACCGGGATTGGGGAAATCATGTCCAGCCAACCTGGGTCGGGTAGTCTGTCGATCAGTGGGCCCTTTGGTGGACTTTGGAGGGCCCTGCAAAACCAAGCCAATCCCAATCACTGGCACTTGGCCGGCAGGAACCGAACAGGTTGCGGGCCGGGGGTTAGCGCCGATCGGCAGAAAAAAAGCTAAGCCAAAACCGCACTCTTCTCACGAATATGATCCCGGAATTTGTGTTTGTTCATGTCCCACCCCAAACTTCCACCGTATCGCGAAGCAGCTTCGTATCTGTATGAACTCGCATTCACCTCACTTGACTTTTCTCTCCTTTTTCACGTCCTATAGTTTCAGCGGTCATATGACTCGCAAAGTTGCATGCCGACCGCCATCATCGCGAACAGCAAAGGGTGGCATAACCACCACCCCCCCCCCCAAAGCTAACTAGCCGAGTTCAAGAGACGAGTGAAAGCCGGTGAACAGGGTTCAGCCACCTCCCCACCTTCAGCACTAACGTGCCTCCTTCATGCCCGTGGTTACGGTGTCCTGCTGGGCCGTCCAAAGTGGGCCGCTCTTCCTCTTTCGTCTGCCTTGCAGGCTGCAGACCAGCTGAAGATATTGGCCCTGCAAGAAATATCTTCTGTGATAGGCCAGCCCGGCCTTTCTACCACCGGATGGTCGCCGACGACGCGGGCCCCTCCACGCTGATCCCAGTCGATCCATGCCCAGTGTCGACCACCGGAATTGTTATCGTCCCTCCACCTGATAGGCCACTTGCCTCTAATCCGTACTTCATCTCTGGTCCATCGTCGATTCGAATGCTGCCCCCGTCCCATTGGGAGAAGGATCGGCAAGCTTTGCCAAGGAAAATCGTGGAAAATGAGAAAGACATCGCGTCACACCTGTATCACGCCGCCACGCGCGGGGCTGTCGGCTCGGATACTGGGATGATTGGGGTTGGGTGCTGTGTCCGATCTCGATAAAATCATGTGGGACCGTGGATGGAGCTCAGGGGCCGCAAATGTGGTTCACCGAGAAGAGAATGGCCAACAGTTCGATACTCCGAATCTCCTTCTGCCACTTTTCAAGGTTTATGTTGCCCAAGAGCCCCAGACCCAACCTCCAACACTCGTGGTCAACACAGTGAGCGATGGATGAGTCGCACCTGAAGCCCGGCGGGCATGACGGGCACAACCGCGCGGGAAGCCCAGGCCTAGACTCTCGTCCTGGTTCCCATGGGGAATTCTTCTCCACGCATGTGCCGTCTCGCCCGGCCACACCCGTGGATCCAGAACACCACCATTCCCAGGCTTCAAACTCCCATCGAAAACCCCGAAAGATCATCTTGTGTTTCGATGGCACCGGCAACAAGTTCCACGGTGACGACAGTGATAGCAACATCCTCAAGATTTTTCGCATGTTGGACAGGACCGCGAGTGATCAGTGTATGGTTTCTTTCCCTCCTCTGCCCCCGACACGTCCAACTAAACCGAAATACAGACCACTACTACCAACGTATGTCTCGAACTAGAATTGCCTGATTGCGAATCCCGCTGCTGACCCTGTCCAGCCGGAATCGGCACCTATGTGGTATCCAATCGGCTCAGCCATACTGGCACAGTCGCCAGAATCAAATCTTGGTACCAAAAGGCCAAAGACTCAGCCATCGGTTCATCGTTTGATCAGCATGTCGTGGGAGGGTACCGCTTCCTCATGCGCTTCTACAACCCCGGGGACGAGATCTACATCTTTGGCTTCTCCCGTGGCGCCTACATCGCTCGCTTCCTAGCCGAGATGCTGGACTATGTCGGCCTGTTGTCTCACGGCAATGAGGAAATGGTCCGTTTTGCCTGGAAAGCCTTCTCCAATTGGCAGAGCCGTCAGGGAGACAAGACCCCCGAGGGCATCAAAAAGAAGAAGGAGATGTACGCGTTTATGAAGGGTTTCCGCGAGACCTTTTCCCGCCCCGTCCGCCGGATCCGCTTCCTCGGCCTGTTTGACACAGTCAACAGCGTGCCGCGTTTTGAGACGGCATGGATGCAGCGCAGCAGGTTCCCATACACTGCACGCACCTCTGCAAAGATCATCAGACATGCAGTAAGCATCGACGAGAGGCGCGCGAAATTCCGTCAAGGTAGGCAAAAGAAGAAAAAAAATCAAAAGAACCGAACTTCACGCGATGTTGAAGCTTTTTGTTTCGCTAACAAGTTGACAAGATCTCATCTACCAGAGTGGCAAGAGTCACAAGGGGAAGAGCGCGCACCGCGAAAAATTGCATAGAATTGGTGAGAAGTATCGTGAGGCGGTCGCTCCACGCAAGTCAACGGACACCAAGCGCCGTGGCCGGCGCGAGGCTTTGGATGTCCCAGATCACCCCGCCCCTTACCGCGCTCGATCTCACTCATCCACCAGGAGAACGCACATGACCGAGGGCTCGGCCAAAGAAGAAAGCGTTCATCACGACGCCAGGTCTGAACTCTCCGTCGCACCCCACCCGCACGGCGAGGACCACGATTTTCACTCGGACGCCGAGTCGGAAGACGAATCAGAACAGGACATCGACGAGGTCTGGTTTGCCGGCGGTCATGCAGACATCGGTGGAGGGTGGGAGATGCTGCCCGGATCCAAGGCCGCCAGTCATGTTCCCCTGGTCTGGATGGTCCACGAAGCCATGAAAGCAGGACTGCACTTTGACCTCGACAAGGTGCGCGAGTTGGGTTGTATGGAGGCCGTCGACCAGATGCCCGTGGGCACTACAAATGGAAACCCCGGCAGCCCAATCGATCCCTCCAAGCCCTCCGACAAGACTCAGACAGCCACCGAAGACCAGCCTCCGATTCCCAACATTACGATCCGCACCCCAAGCACTATCAGCCCCAAGCCCGTCCAAGAATCCAACGGCAACCAAAAGTCCAACGCAGCAAACGCCTCAGCCACCAGGAGCAGCTTCAGCGAGTCCTCCGCCGCCCCACCAACATTCAGGGAAATGATGCACAAAGCCCACGTCGCCCTGCTCCATGACTCTCTCAAATTCGGTGGCGGCTTACCCTGGTCGTCGGTCCTGGCCTGGAAGGTCATGGAGTACGTCCCACGGTTCCTCCCCTTTTCTTCCTCCCCTTTTCTTCCTCCCCTTTTCTTCCTCCCCTTTTCTTCCTCCCCTTTTCTT